GAAGGCTCCGAGGCCAAGGGAATGCTCGGCCGAAGGGACCCAGGTCTCAAAAAGTGCAATCGAGCCGGGCGGGAAGAATTCAGCAAGGGTGATTGTCGTGTCACCATTTTCAGTATGAATGGTGCCGCCCTTAATATTTCTCACTCGAGATGGTAGACCGACGAGGTATTCCTTCTCGCTCAATGCAGCTCTTTTCGCCTGCTCACTTTGATCGACCTCCAGTACCCATGCCCCGAGTGGACGGACTTTAGTACCAGCGAGGTGCACAGGACTCAAGCCACCATTTCCGTTACCAAACCCAGGAAAAGCGGTATGGGCAATAAGAAAATACCCTTTACGCGAATCCGGATGTACTCGGTGGAGGGTGATGAGCTCACCCTCATGGTGAAGGAAGGTCTCATCGTAGCCATCCTTGCCCATCATGGTATGGATATGGTTCATGAGCTTCTTAACGCCAGCTATTCCCCCCTCGCCGGCCCCAGTATGGACTTCGCCTTCGGAACTGATTGATGTATAGCTGCGGTTCTCGTGTACAAGATCGACGAGCTTTGGGTAGATCTCATCGAAACCCATGACACTGCCTGTTGCACACCCGCACATGTTGACAAGCGCAGCCGTAGGTAATGTGTCCCTGGCGTCCCTCTTTTGAGCGGGCATTTCGTTGTCATGAGTACAATCCATGAACAAAGCATGTACCGGAGATTCTCTGATATGCTTGACGACCTCTCGGGTTTGTGGACCATCACCATTTACAAAGCCATTTTCAGGCTTATTTCCTAATCTCGAAGGGACATTGAGTTCGAAACTGCCAATGGGTCGGCCGCAATGCCGATGCACGATCCGACTTAACTCTTGGGTGCTCCAAGCCTGCATGGCTTCACGGATCAGAGCACTCAGTCCAAGCCTCTTGACAAAGATGTAATCCATCTGTTCGTTGCCAGTGAACAGCTCGGCAAATACTGCCAAATTTGGCTGCACTTTTCGCGCCTCGTCCAGTAGATATTCGGCAACATGAATTGGGGTGGAGTGGCAATTATCGATTCGGAAAGCCGTAAAGTATTTGGCCATCAATCGGACATACTTCGTCATATGTTCCCACAGGTAAGGGTTGTCCTGTGGACCTTTGCCGTACCTCAGCTTGACACAGTCACTCCATGGAATGAGTTCCCTTCTGAGATATGGTCTCCAATCAGGACCCGCATTATCCTTCATGGCATCGGCAGCCCAGATCCATCCATTGACCGCCAGAGATAGCGACTTTGGGTTATGTTTCGCGGTGGTCTTGTTTTGCGGTAGCCGAGCGAAATAAGTCTCGATGAGAGGGTTTTCCTTAGTGATGGGGCCCAGTTTTGGACCATTAGGGTCCATTCTCGTATATTGTAGTCTCCCTCTAGTCTGGTCCAGGATTGAAGCGCAGTCGGCGTCAAACTCTCTGTAAAAGGGAAGGTTGAGTTCATTGATAATCGCTTTCATCTCTTCCTCTGCCGACCGGGTGTCCGCTCCGTCTTCGTAGTGTCCGAACAAAGTCGTCAGAATGGCAGCTCCAACCCCGGGATCGACTTTGCGTGAATATCGGCCATCAATGCGAAGACGCGAACGCTGACCATCAACACGCAGACTGTCCAACATACCCTTGTTAAGGAGGAACGCCGCCTTTTGAGAGAGAGACCACGATTTGAAGGAGTCAAGTCCACCACCAATAGCATCCTCAAAACCCTCAGGAGGTAACTTGACAGCGCCTTTCTTCCATGCATTGAGCACCGCCTGAGTGTCTGACTTGACATCGCAGACAAAATACTCCCAGAGCCGGATCTTGTGTATAACGTGCTCCCTGATGCCCGCGACGACCACCTCCAGATCATTGCCATTGTTGAAAACGGTGGGGAGGCCGAGAGACTCTAGCTTATCACTATATTCTAGGAGAGCATCGTCAACATCGAGGGCACATTCCAACCAGGGGGCAGTTTCGACATTGTAGCCTGCTTCAGGATGTTCCTCAAGCCACTTGCTGTTGTTTGCGGTATGGTTGAAGACAACATCAGTCAATCCCAATAGTTCATGTTCTTCCTCCATGGATTTGACCATCTGCGCGAGATCCTTTTCACCGCCAGGGAACAGCTCCATGTCAAACGCCAGTTGATCATACAGGCTGTAGGGGGAGTTTGACTCCCCTCGCTGTTGCAGTGGTGTAAAGTGGACCATGTTGTAGCCTCTTGCACTAATCCCCCTCAGGTGCTTGTTCCAGTCCTCAGGGTAATTACCCATGAATTTGGACACAACTGAGAAGATACCCAGAGCATCAAGCGGCAAGCAGCTGCCACCAAGTCGCAGTTTTGGCTCAATGTCAACATAGTAAGTGGGAGTACGGGTTGGCTTGGGAGGGTCGACATGTTCGGTAGAAAACTCAGGCAGAGGACTGTAGGTAGTATAGAAGGAGAATGCGCCAGCGGAAGTGATGGGAATGTCGATTTCGAGGGTCCGATTGAAATCCGGACGCAGCTTGAACTCGTGGTACCGGTTACGGTCGAACGGATGGCCCTTCAAGGGGAAATTGACCCAGAGGCTACCTTGACGGCATATTGAGCTGGTCCCTTCAATGGCAAATCTTAGGTAGTAGGAAGGCTCGGTCGGCGCAGGCAGGTAAATGTACTCGTTGGGGACATCCGGAGCTCCAGCGTCGGTGAGTGGTAGAAGATAGACTTGACGGGTGCTTTGATGAGTTCTAGGAGGCATGTTGCCGGCCCGTCGACGGTCTGAAGAGGTCTTTAGAATGGGTGGTCTTGGTTGGCTACCTATATTCTATGGCATTGTCTGGCTGCGATAGCTCGACCCCCACAGCTGAATGCAGCACGAAATGGAGGTGCAGGCTTGTAACGATTCAGGTGGAAATATACGTACTCAAGAGAAGGAATTGTAGGATCGGTGCAAATAAGGATAAGAGAATAAGGAGCTGTGAAGAGAATGATCGCTCACCGAATGACGGGGTAAGGAGGAAGAAATGCTGTGATGTGGTATGTCCCTAAACCTGGTCCTCATTATTATGTATTACACGTTGAGGTAAGTGCCAGCAATGCTGGGAAAGGCAGGTGCAAGAGCAGCTGTCACTCGACCCCACACACCGCCGCCCGCCGCCAAAGGTACGTTTTTCTGCTGTGGTGGTGGAAAGCAGGATCTGGATGGGCTCTGCTGAGTGGATGATTTGAGATGGAAAAGTTCAATTCTCAGGCCTGTTCCTGCATCCCACTCTCAGGTTCAACAGAGAAACTTCCCCGGCTGCCGGGCGAATGGTGGGGGAACAAAGCAGGATTTCCAGGTGGGACTACGCCTAAATGGCCTAAATTACGCCTAGCAGCGGGTGCTTATCGTTAAGCGGGAGGTCCGCCTGGGGGTGAAGACCAAATTCGTTTGCAACATTGCCATTTCAGTGGCGTCAGTGGCTGAGTCCCAGTGCCAATGCTGTGGAACGCGGGCGAGGTTGGTATTCTGAGACGGATCTCACCCCCTCAGTTCAACACAGACAACTCCGTACAGGCAAATCAATCGTGTCAACCCGGCTCTTGACCGCTTCCGCGAAGTCAAAGGGTTCCATTCTGGCTCGAGTCCACTATTGTTGCTGTTTTCGTCTCTGGGATAACGCAAACGTCCACACCAGGGAGCTGAAGAACGAGCAGCACATTCAGAGCACCAGCGTCCTCAATCATTTGTACCATGGTAGTCATCGGCGGAAGGACATGATCACGGCAAGAGGAGCAAAGGCAGGATGGTATGTGCAGTGTCAGCTAGTGAAGGCCCCGTCTGGTGCCGTCTCAGTGTCCATCGTCCTGGCAATAACATCCGGCGACGTTTGCGACCTACGGCCGATACCTTTGGCAGCAACAACGACAGGAACTTGCGGTAAGAATTCCTTGCTAGGCCCAGAAAATTTCAACATTTTCTTCCCCGTGATCATGTGTGGACAGGGGTGGAGCGATTCCAGTCAGAATAAAACGCCTCCAGCACGGTGGACGCCGCAGGTGAGCTGGGTTGGAAGACGGTCGTCCTCTCGGGCAGCTCTCTTGGGGAAGTTCTATTTGGTCTAGTTAGAAGTGATGGACAACCTGACAGATGACTTGACCATAAACACAACGATCACGTTTGAAGAGGGAACAGAGATTCTGACGCATGAAGGAGGCTTTCCCCTTTTCTTCTCTAGCGAGGATACACGCGGAGATATGCTTGTAGGATTAGGGCAAATCAACATCATCCGATGCAGATCGATAAAAATCTGGGGAACATGGTCTTGCAGCCACTTGTTGTCGCTTCGAGATGACTCGAGTTTTGAAGTTTCCGCCACGTTTGAAGCATCTGCAACGGAATTCAAGCTTCCAACCATGTACGCAAGTCCAGAAAGTATTTGAAGCAGTGTTGCGAGCAGGCGGACAGTCTCTTGTAGCTCCCGAATCGCGAAGAGAGAGGACAAGGAGAACAAGAGCAATGAATTCATGCCCAGCCTTCTTAGCCTCGGGCTTCCATTCGATGAGGCTGTTTCTGTTACGTGTAGTTTTGGTTCCCCTTCTTCTCCCAGGGTTTCAACAGTCGAATCTAATGGGCTTGGTTTTTTTTTCTCAGCACGTGTATTATCAAAGGATTTGTGTTCAAATCCAGGGCCGTGATGATGCAAGCCTCGGATCCCCATGAGGATACTACTTATTTCGACGTAAGTTGAAGCAAAGGTGGGAAAGAGGGATTTACTGTTCATTATTTTCTTCACTTCAACCCCTCCATCCCAATTTTCGTCGTTTTCATTAATACCCTCACCTTTACTGACGACTCATTTTCGCTTTCAATTCTACGTTTCCCCTCTGAAAAGTCCTTCCTACCTGTCGCTGGGCTTCTAGCGGTTCCGCGTTGCCTGACTTGCCTCTCTGAGAACCACCTCCCTCTAGCAGGAAACACTGCGCTTTTTTTTCTGCGAAGGTTCAAATATCGCGAACTCCAATTTGCTGTACTAGAAAGTCAGCATGACCAACCCGACCGTCACCTATGGCCGTGGTGGCGCTGGTCAGTACATGTTTCGGCAACTAACAAGGTCGAAGACCATTCTTCTCTGACGTCTCTATCAGGCAACGTCACCACCAAAAATAGACTGTCGCCCGCTTTCGAGCCTCAGACCACTCCCTCGTTGAAGTCCAAGACGTATACCACTGGCCGGGGCGGAACTGGCAACATGGCCAAGAATGACTTTGACCACCCAGAGGAAGCTCGCCGTGCTCAGGACGTCGATGTCCCCGCAATTACAATTCCAGAGGGTGTCCGCCATACCGGCAGAGGTACGCTCGACCAAACTCTTGAGTAGGGCAGCGTAGAAGCTAAAATTGGTTGGCAGGTGGTGCAGCCAACTTGTACAAGCCCACTGAAGAAGAACAGCGCAAGGCTCGAGCACACAATGAGAAGGTGCGATCCGAATCCTTTAATAAGGAACGAAGCAGTATCCGTGTACTAGCGGACAAGACAAAGGACCCCCTGACGGGCAACGACAAGTGAACAGGGAGCGAGCGAGACACACAAATCCCCAGGGGTGGCGAGAATCCGCTCGGTCGAGTCAAGAATTCTAGCTGATTACAGCGTCGGGGTGGAGTCGTTTCGTTTTTTTGTTTTTGCTTGGTGGGCATGGACCGTCATTCGGAACCGCTTTGCTGGCTGTAATGAGGATCCTCAGGATGCGTCCTTGGTCCCTGCCCGTCTGCTTGGTCTGTAAGCACATAAGTCGAAGCCAGCGCCACGCCACGAGGCGAACGGTGGAAGAGGAATGCCGCCCGAAAATTGATTGGTTCTAGCATCGGTAACGGTTCTGTAAGGGCATCATCTGCAGAGGCGAGTGAAGTCTGGAACGCACTGCCATTGGGGAGGCAAGCCTCGAGTTAAGCGTCTTCGGCGCCTTAATACGTAATTGTTTAAAACCAAAAATCGGAGGCTGTTGGCCGTAAATTGTAATGAACATAGCGGGCTGCTGCACTGAAAAGCGCGCACGAGTTCCATGTTGCACAGCGCCAACTGTCAGTGCAGCCATGCCAATCTCGTGGCTGGTCTTTCTGCGCGGCCCTTTGACGCTTCGCTTCGTTCAGGTTTGAAGAATAGGCGACAAAACAAAATGTTGACTTGTCATAACAGGGCATCAGCCACTGACCTCATATCAAAGGGGGAGAGCAGGCAGGGATACGAGAGTACGGAGAACAGCAATCCGTGTGACTGAAAAAACATCTAGAAGAGGTGTAGAAGCCCATTGATCAATTGCTCGAGTTCGCTAGATGGGTGCGGCTGGAGCTGGTGGGGCAAGAGATCACTGGGTTTTCTTCTTTTCTCGATTCTCTTTTTTTGTTTGCCCCCCTTTTGGACTTTTGACAGGCCGTTCTATAATTCTAGTGAAGACTCAAATACGGAGTCTGCGGCCCATAGTATTTAGGAGGAAGAATTTAGTTGGAACTAGATCGCGGCAGATGGCAGGATCGACGACTTCGTCGTTTTGCCGAGAACGCCGAAGGCAAATACATCCTACGGAGGCTACAGTAGAGGCAGCCAGGGGAGTACCTACATACTTATGTACCTAGGTATGTATCTAGTGAGTAGATGGGGGATTAAACCCTACCTAACCTACCTCGTACAAGGTACTGTAGCGTACTGTAGCTAAACTGCGAGGGTACACCTGTCGGATGGCTATCCGAGTGCTGTGCTGGGCTTTTGCTGCGAGGGCGAGGGGTTGGTCAGTGGACAGAGGTCATTCGTGGGGCGCCGTCAACACATTGCAACAAAGTTCTTCCTGGGCGGCAAGCGATAGGCTGATCTCGGTCTGATCTGGGCGCCTGGGCCTGGACGAGCAGCAGAAGCTGTTCGTTCTAAGAGGATAGGGGTCTTTTAGAACCTGAACTCTCTGGTGACAGCAGCTAAGACTCCCTAGGCAGTGGGCTTTGTGGGTGTGCCTGGTGTCGGTGGTGCCGTTGATTCTCGCCCGAAAGACCGAATGCTTGACCTTTTCTTACTAAACCCACAAACACAGCCCACACTTGTAGTTAGTTACAACTTTAGCCCGCTAGCCGAAGGACAGGCTCCTAGCCTCTAGGGACCTGGGGGAAGAATGGTGTCGAGTACGAGGTAGTAGTGAGGTTGCGTTCGTGATCTGATGTGATCCTATCCTCCTGCCTTTTGCTTGCTGGACTCTTTCTTGTATATGGCTGAACCCATTTCATCTACCGTCTGTATTCTCTTCCTAGAGATCTCCAAGGTCAAATGCCCTCCAGTGCTCGTCTTGCCACTGTGATTAGAATGTATTCCTTGTCTCAAACTCTCACTTTAATCTCCCAACTCGCCTCACTTCGCCTCTGACCTCTGGCCTCTCTATCTAGCAGTCCGGCCACAGATTGCTCGAGATTCTGGGTCTCTGTCTGGTTCTCGATCTGTGTCTGGTTCAACAGTCCTTTGGGGTCCTGACTCATGATCCATATCCTTGACTTCAGCCGTCATTTGTACCTTCGGCGACCACATTCCACAACCCAGATACATTCTCGATATCTGCCATAGTTCTGCTGTTGCGCCATGGCATGAACCTTTGCTCCGAGACCCTGTTCGAAAACTTGAATAAAACTCTGATGTCCCGCCTGAACCACAGAACCTCTCTTCTTTGCGTTAGAATAAACCGGCTTAGTCTCTTGACGATCGAAAAATTCTCTTATCGTACCTTGGAGAAGCAAGTCTTATACCAGGATAGCCCGAGTTGGGACTACCACCATCACCACCATCACCACCACCATCACCACCACCACGACGATAATCAACGGAACTTTTACCAGGACCACATTCACCCCTCTACGCAATCCCAGTCAGAGAAATTCTACGCCATTTAACTTTGACAATCACAAAACCACAGATAAAGAACGACTCAAGGCCTCGGATTGGCCGCTGCACTCCACCTCGCGTCGTTCGAGGCCTGATATCTGTTCACCTGATTCTATATTGTCCCTGATCGTCCTCCGGCACTTCTGTGTCACCTCAACACTTTTGTCTGACTAGCGACGCTCCCATCCCCCCGTCCCACCTTGGCCAGACGTTCTGTTTGGGTGCCCCAGTCATTCAGGTACCTGAATGAGTCTTAGTGTTTTGGGGAGTGAGTCGGATGTCAAAGTTTTCGCAGTTCAAGACCAGTTTTTTGTAGCGAGGACCGGGAGAGCTTGAGAGTTTTAGTTGCATTTCGATGCCAGGGTTTGAGTTTGCTTAAGCCTCCATCGGCCCTGTCGTTACTGGAATACCACTGTTGTTTTGGAAGGTTCGGTTTGGAAAGAACCACCCTGCCCACACGAGGACCTCTCTTCCACCATTCCTACGGTCTCGCACATATATATATGTCTCCCTGATTCACCCCTACCGGCATCTTTCAGCAGCTTCATTTGGACTATGTATCCGACAGATCAGCCTCACTTTCCTCCTCCAAGAGCTCATCCCCATCCTCTCCAGCATCCTGCGCCAGCACCTGCGCCTCTGCAGATCCCTCCCATGGCCCCCTATTCTCCATACAACTCGGCGAATCAGATGGCGGCCAACACCAAAATTCCTCTGACGAACAATAACATGAACGCTGTAGCTAACAACATCGGCAATAGCAACAGCATCATGCCGCCTCCAAGCCCCAGTCACAGTAGTACGGCGGATGACGAATCCTTCTACGGCCTACCGGAAATACCACCAATTTCCAGGATTTGGGGGAAGTATGCATTCGCAGTAGAAGTCATTCAACAACCCAAACGTGCTCGCATGTGCGGATTTGGAGACAAGGTAACAGCCAAAGGTCAGGCAGTGTATCAATATGGGCCAAAGTTGACTATTTTCTTCCCAGGATCGCCGTCCTATTACACCACCTCTTATTGTCAAACTCCACATTTTTGATCCAGAAACCCATCAGGAGATCGACTACGTGTGAGTCCTGCCACTTTGTATTCCCCCTCTGCTTGCTGACCCAGAGACAGTAAGGTCGTGGATCTGTCAAAGTTTATCCTCGGCGTTGATTTGTGGGATGTATATGGCAACCACGAGGACAACTGTGTCAGAAACAACACGACATCTCCATCAATATCAACGACCATCACTACTCCTTATCCTCCACTAACCACCACTGGCATGCGCGCGACACAGCCGCTCCGGCCTTACGACGTCACAAATCTCCCCAGTTGGCGTGGAGCCAGAGACGCGTCTACGCCAACAAGCGTGCCCACATCCGCCTCATCTGCCTACAATAATGATTCATTCGAACAACGTAACCCGCCGTACCAGTACAGCAACGACGTGCACTACAATGGTCACCATCAGAATGGCTATGACACGTCTTTACATCATCAAACCTCCACGCATGAACCAATCCCTTCCGCGGCCCCACCGCTTCGTTCCTCTCGATCCTCGCAAGATCTGGGATCGCTAAACCCAGTCAGGGGCGAACCTTCCAAGAATCTCATCGGACAGTGCCATACTAGTGTCCAAAGGTTGGATGACGAGAATAAGGAGGTAGGGCTCTACTTTATCTTTCAGGACTTGAGTGTGCGGACGGAGGGCTGGTTTCGACTAAAGTGCACACTTTTTTCCTTGGCAAAGCTCATCATGGACGATGATGACGACGACAGCGACCCTGCTTCAAATGAGCTTTATCGTGAAGCCCCGTGTCTGGCCTCGACCTTCACACTCCCGTTCAAGGTCTTCAGTGCGAAAAAGTTCCCGGGAGTTGTCGAAACCACGCATCTGAGCAGGATATTTGCGGATCAAGGCATCAAAATACCCATCCGTAGAGATGGGCAGAGAGGGAAGAAAAGGAATGAGGATGACGGAGATGGCGCAAATGGAGACGCAGAATACGAAGGAGACGACGGAATATCTGATGAGTTGCTTTAGGACAGCAGCACTCCTCAATACAGTGACGGCTAGCTAGATAGGTCTGAGATTTAGAGCGATACCTATGCAGATTTCAGGGGGAGGAATCAGGGGGTCAAGGACAGATGGGAAGACTTGGAAAAGAGAATACTTTCGTTATCAGACAACGGCTTCTTTTGCTGGACCGTTCGTGGGAGGCACTTTATGACTCAACAAAAATGGTGCATAGCGTTCGTATAGTTGGCTCATTGCACCATAAATTCCTTTTCCTGCACTGAACGGTGGGAGGATTTCTTCTCATTGACGATGTAAAGCTCTCATAGAACCGGGTGAAGTATTTGATAGATGATGTTGTGTACTGGCGAGGTAGGAGACTTGGGATTTTGAAGTGCCAGCCTTGCAGTCCTCACCAATCGGAGTGTACTCGGCAAACCTCGTCGCGCTCGTATCCTGCGAACCTCCGCAACCTTGCTCGACCTCACCCTTCTCTTCAGGCACGCAGGCATTTTTCGCCCTGGATAATGATGCAACTTAGTTGCAATACCGCTGCATCGTGACCCCCCCTGCCATTGTGGCGGCCCTTTCGACCATTCCACCCCTTCAGAGAGATGGGCCTCCAAAAACAGGTGAAATACTGG